GCCAAATAGTAAATGCATAAAGCAAAACTTTTACTGCATGAGTTAATCTTAATGTAGAAGAATGACTAGTATTGGTTATTGAATTGAAGGGAAAAAAATGAGAGAAGGAAGTGAGTAGCATTGAAGATGAAAATATTCTCTAGAGCTAGAAATGTTGAAATGAATGGGAGATATGGCAGCAATACTGTTCTCCTCTTCTTCTTCTGAACATATTATTTGATGATTGACGTTAGTGATAGCCATTCAGAGGTAGATGCCTGTCTAAGAGATGTCAGTTTCAAATGCATTGTGGGTGTTTGCACTGCTTAAGCTTAAGCAGAACAAAGAAAGAAGTGTAAAAATTACATCGAGTGTGTTTGTTTGTGCATTTTTCATTCAACATGAAGTTATCATTAAGAAGAGATTAAGCGTGAAGTCTACTTTTTTGAGGACAAATGATGACTGAAATATCTAGTACTAAAAATTTCCCCTGGTAGTAAGCATGCAACATGTTTTTAATGAAGTTGCTACTCGTTGGATTGATTAAATGATGCCTTAGAAACATCTGGCAGTTCAAGTTTGACACTGTACATCAAAGCCATAAAAATTATAAAGAAAAAAAAAAGGGTGGAATAGCAAGTATGTGCTTTACTGAAAGATTCTGCTCTGGTTGCGAACTTGTGATGCTGCCTAATGTAACATTTATTATCATCCAGCTAGCATAATCCAGAATTTCAAATATGACTGAGAAGAGGTAAATAAAGAGTATGTATCCTTCAGTTATTTTACTTGAGCTGTAGTTGATCCAGGTCTTAAGGAACCTTTGATTGAGGTCTTAAGGAACCTTTCTTTCTTTATCAAATTTTGAATGAAAAGGACCTAGTATCTGTTTTATTGTTGTTTGTCATGTTTTTGGGGAGAGTACTCTGATAATATTGTGGTCAAATGTTATTTAAGTATTGATGCTCTCACTTTTATCTCTGCTATCATTATACTTTTTTATTTCTACAATTTCAAAAGGGCCATAAAAAATTCCACCATAAAAGAATGATTAACAACGACGTTTAGACATCGTAGACATAACCACCATAAAACAAAAATATTGATAAAGGCAACGTTTTGATAATACCTTTTTACCCAAAAAAAAGAATGATTAACAACGACGTTTAGACATCGTAGACATAACCACCATAAAACAAAAATATTGACAAAGGCAACGTTTTGATAATACCTTTTTACCCAAAAAAAAGAATGATTAACAACGACGTTAGCACTACCCCCCCTTGGTGCACGTTAGCACTATTTCCCCTCATCCAAGCTAAAACCCAGAATAACACTGGGTATGGCCGCCCAGTGTGGAAAGAAGAGGTCGTACGTAATTTCTCCTATCCACCAAGGCTTCTTTTTTTTGTCTCTCGGTTGGTACCAGCTACTTCTTCCCATTTGCTATATATCACCCTCTTTCCCCCAGCCTTCTCCTCATTCTTTGATCTCCAATCTTCACTTTACATTTCTGCTTTAACACTCCAGAGAGGGAAAAAAGGAAAAACATGGCGGCATATTTGCACAGAGGCTCCATGAACGTAGAACAAGATCCGGAAGCTTTCAATAACGGCGATTTCCGAGAGAACCTTGACGATGATGGTCGCCCCGAGAGAACTGGTAAGATGTTTAGAATGCATAGCTATTGCAGAGGTTTAAAGATTTGACCAGATACAGACTAAAGTCGAGTCTTGTATCTGGTATAGAATGTTAGTATCTGTTGAGATGTTAATGGGTTTGTCTTTGATTGGTGAAGGGACTTGGGTGACCGCAAGTGTTCATATCATCGTAGCCATGATTGGTCCCGGTTTGCTGTCTCTGGCATGGGACATGGCTCAGCTGGGCTGGATAGCTGGCTTCGGCGTTCTCATGGCTTTCTCCTTCATCACCTACTTCACCTCCACTCTTCTGGCGGACTGCTACCAATCTTCTGAATCCGTCACCGGAGGAAGAAACTATATTTACATGCGTGCCATCACAGCCCACTTAGGTGAATTCACGTTTATTATTATTATTATTATTAT